CACCAGACGGCACTATTGCTGAAGAGATTTGAGCCTGTCCTATCTGAGGCTCTACTCCATGTCACTCTGTAGTTTCAATATGTTTCTTTTTTATCATAGAATTATGCTATGTGCATCCCCTATTCTTCTCTTTTATATATGCCTTGATATCTAATGGATTGGAATATCATCCAAGTTTGGGATTGTCAGACATACCCCTATTTAGGGTAGATGGCAATATTTCCACCATTTTTACGCTCCACTCTTGAGGTTAAAAGCTTTTTGGGCTCTTTTCCACTTTCTTGTATGCATCTATTTTTATGTTGTCGAACATATGAAATACTGAAAAATGGGAGCACATCTATTATTCTATTTCTGATTCCTATGTCGATTGTGAATTTGTCCCACCAACTTGTCTTTGAGTATCTGGGATTTAGTTTGTGCCTCTTTGATAATTTTTTTTTATTCACATCTAGGACCCAAAATAGTGAGGTTAGGTTTTCTACCCCAGTTTTAGCTTTTTCCATTTTATACCATGTTTCTTGAGTTGCAGCATTATTTTGCGAGAGCAATATATGAGTCAGCTAGTCTGATAACATTGTAAAATTTCCAGGCACCCCAAACATCCATCCTGCCTTGATCTGGCCAAAACTTTCATTTTAACTCTTGCTTTCTTGCCACCCTATACAAATTTAACGGATGTGTGTAGTAAAGATAGCCAGTTTTCTGGGTAATTGAGTAAGAACATGCTCCACAGATACAGCCAGTTTGGTAAAATGTATGCTTTTAGAATGTTGATCCTACCCGACCAAGAAAAGCCTATATTTTTCCAGTCCCTTAAGTTTTTATTAGTTTGTGTTAGTAAAGGTAAAAAATGTGCTTCTACTAGATCTTTTAGATCTGAGGTTAAGGTTATGCCTAAATATTTTAGCCTGTCCTTGTTTTCGGGGAGCACAATGTTTTGTACAAGAAAATTAATGAACCTTTTACTCATATTTTGAGCTATAAATATTGATTTCTCTAGATTCATTTTGTATCCTGAAACTTTAGAATATTTGTTTATCTCCTTTAGTAGCTCTGGGCCGAGGTTTTTGGTTCTTTTAATGTTAGTAAGATGTCATCTGTGTAAATATTTAATTTACTTTGTCCTAAGGAATTTATAAGTCCTTTAATTTTTTTATTCTACTTATTAAAATCGCAAGGGGTTCTATCACCATTATGTACGGTAGAGGGGAAAGAGGGCACCCTTGTCTAGTCCCATTTTTAACACTTACGTTTTTTGATGTGAAGCCTGACCCTGTTACTTTAGCTGACATAGCTTGTAATATTGATCCAGTGATTCCAAAATGTTTTAAGGTGGCAAACATGAAACCCCATCCAACCCTGTCAAACGCTTTCTCTGCGTCTTTTGACAGAAACTTTAGAGGGGTTCCATTAATCTCTGTTTCTTCTAAAATGTTTATTATTATTCTGAGATTGTTGATTGAAGACTTTCCTGGTATTAATCCTACTTGGTCACTATTGATTAATTGTGGTATAACTATTTTTAATCTATCAGCAAGGATGGAAGATAATATTTTAACATCTGTATTAATTAGTGATATAGGTCTGTAATTGCCAATCAGTTGTGGGTATTTATCTGCTTTTGGGATGGAGACAATGTTCGCTCTCAACAACTCTCTAGGACAGCTTTCTGTTTTCATTGCGTAGTTGAAAATGGTAGTGAGTTCCCCTTTTAGTTGGTCTTTCATTATTTTATAGAATTTATTTTTAAAGCCATCTGGGCCTGGGGCAGTCTTTATTTTAAGCTTATCTATGGATTTACTGACCTCTACTTCTGTTATGGGCTGGTTTATCAGCTTTAATTGGTCATGTAAGATTTTGGCATGGGTAAGTTTTCAAAGAATTCCTTAATCTCTTTTTCCTTGCCAAATATTTCTTTTGGTAGGTTATATAGATTCTGATAAAATCTCTGAAACGCTCTACCTATTTTTTCTTGGGCCATTAGATAGGTGTAGGTGTCTTTTATTTTAAATATTACTCTTTTATGTTTCTCTTTTTTCAATTTGTTGGACATTGGTGTTTCTGGCTTGTTGCCCTTTAGATACAACTTGGATTGTAGTGCTTTTAACTGTTTGGTTGCTTTATTCATTTGCTGGATATTTACCTGTTTTTCTGTTTCTGCAATTTTCCTTGCTATGTCTGTAGAAGGTGTTGTTTTATTCTGCCTCTTGTATTCGCTTAATGTTAAAAATAGTTGGGAGAAAGGCGGTAATCCTTTTTTATTTGCGGTTGCTGCCATTTTTATCAAGTGGCCTCTAGCTAAACATTTATAAGCGCACCAGACTGTAATATCTGGTGTACCTTTCTTTTTGTTTTCTAAAAAGAAGAGATTTGTTATATTCTTAATTTCTTCAACATTTTTTTTTTGTGTAATATAAAATCTTTTATGCGCGACTCTTTACAGAATGTATCAAAATTATCTTTGCATTCCAACATGATAGGACTTTGGTCTGACCATGCTATATCCTGTATCTCTATTCTTTTAACAAGATATAGCATAGCCACATTTCCCAGGATAAGGTTGATTCTGGAGTATGAATTGGATGTTCTAGAATAGCATATGTAATCTAGGTCGGAGAGGTGAAATATTCTCCCTATATCTCTTAGCTTATGATTATTTAGTGAGTTTTGCAGTCTGTTTTCAATTATTTTCCTGCTTTTTCTATCATTCTCGCTCTTTCTGTCTATCAGAGGGTCCACTACGTAATTAAAGTCCCCCATGATTAGTACTAGGTTGGAGGGGTGAAATATTCTCCCTATATCTCTTAGCTTATGATTATTTAGTGAGTTTTGCAGTCTGTTTTCAATTATTTTCCTGCTTTTTCGATCATTCTCGCTCTGTCTATCAGAGGGTCCACTACATAATTAAAGTCCCCCCATGATTAGTACCAACCTTTGCTTGGCTTGATCTGCTCTATTTTCTTAAACACTTTTGTGATACATTTTATTGTAGATTTATTTGGTGCATAACTGTTAACTAATGTGAATAGCTTAATATTTATTTCACATATTAGAATAATGTAACGACCTTCTGGATCTAATTCTTTATATTTAATGATTAGGGAAACATTTTTTGCAAACATAAATGCTACGCCTCCTTTTTTTTTTTTTGCCCTAGAGCCGCACTTATAATAGTGAGGTATCTTGATGAATTAATTATATTTCCATTGGATCTTAACCAGTAGGTTTCTTGCAGGGAACAGATTTGTATCTGATTTTTTTATCAGGCAGTCCACAATTATAGACCTTTTACATGGTGTGTTGATCCCCCGGTCATTTATTGAGGTCAACTTAAATTGTGTTTTCTTATCTGTTATCAGCACTCAATCTCTCCAAAAGTTACCAAAGTTTTATAGAAAAATTAAAAAACATCTTTATTTGTGATTACATAATAATAAGATGGGCTGATCCCAAATGCTGATATCAACCTAAGACAAATGTGATGTATGGCAAAAAACACCTACTGAGGGTGTACGATCCAGAGCAAGCCTACCTTAAGACACTACTAGTTAAAAAAAAAAAAAAACAATGAGAACCCCAACCAAATAGACAAATAGAATTCCAAATATGGGAATAAGTAGGGACAGAAGGAGACCCTATAGAGCTAAACACCACACCCTTTCAACTTTATGTTGTGTCAGTCGTTATATAAGTGTATTAACTCACTATTATTCTTCCTCTTCATTGTGCAAAACTTGTTGTTCTTAATCCTAACACTCTTTTCCTTGCCCTTTTCTTTTCTTTCCTCCGAGTGGAAGTATATACCTTTCAATGTATTTATAACTTCCTTTTTTTTCAATTTGAATTTTAATGTACATTACGTTGTTTCATTCTGATTAGTGTGAACCTCTATATAGGTAATTATTTTTATTATTAGCATTTATATAGCACCAACATATTCCACAGTGCTTTTATAATTGTATTTATTTTTTTAGAAAGGGGTTTATTAGAGGTAAAGAACTTATTGACGTCTCTCTGAATCTCATGTAAATTTACTTTAAAAAGGGAGGGCAAATAGTGAGAAAATAGGAGTTCATAAAGTGCCATCATTTTAATAGAAGCACATCTACCAAGCCAGGAGACCTTATACCATCCAAATAAGTCCTTCTTAACCCCTGGCCGACCTCTGACGTTTTAGGTACGTCCGACAAAAAAACGGTCCTTAAGGACCATGGACGTATCAGGTTGCATGAGATCCTTTGTTAATTTTCAATGCCTGTGATTTATGCTGCTTAACTTTATTCTATGATACATTTCTAAAGCCAGCAAAACCTTCATGAACAACAGGAAGATAGATGGCACGAGCCAAGATATCCAGAGTTAAAACCTGAAGTAAAGGTGACAATGGACAACTTTACCTGTGCCATTCGTAATAGAGAATCTGTCCGACAACACCCCATAACCACGGGCAAGATGGTTGAATAAATCTACCCAACTGCATTTGCTATCTGATCTGTAAGCCACATGAGACATATTTATAATACATTTATATTAAATACATTTTTAATGTTATGTTTACTTATTCCCTATATTTAAACAGATACTTGTTTGTGAATTCTGAAAAATAAAATTAAATGTAGAAATTAGCACTGCTATGTTTACGTCTGTTGTTTAACTGTGAGCCTCCATCTTGGCTCCCTTCCACAGATTCACTAGTTCTGCCCTTCGCATTAGTCAACATAGAGAGAGCACAAAAAATGGACAAACACATTTGGAAACAATATTTCGATTTCTCCTCCTGAAGTGCAATATGTGCCTTGGTTATGCCACGATTGAACTAGCTTGTGCTGTAATGTTATTAACCCTTAATACATTGTACATTTAAAAGTCCATAGTACAACATAAAACAAGAGTTATAATTAATTTCCATAGTGTTAGTACTCTACTTCACACTTTTATTTGCTTATGGGGTAAATAAATATGCACAGTGTTATTTTGAAAATCAATTTTACTATGATATTATATTGTATATAAGAGAATAAACAAAGAGCAACTTAACATACATCCAAAGTAGCATGAGTATACAGCACCTCAAGAACTTGATAAATACAAAGCCTGTTTGGCATATACATGCTTGTCAATGAAAGATAGAAAATCTAAGACATAAAATAAGAGATAGCAAGTCATCCCATTATCTAGTATATTAAATGTATTCACAAGAAGACACAAGTTAGTGAATAGATATCAATACAAGCATTGATGACTCTGGTACACATTGTGCCAAATGTCTTCTAATATTTATATTTATAAATATTATGTATGCATAAGAAAATATACAAGTATTTTAATATTTAAAAAAGAAACATTTAAAAAGGGAGTGAGAGAGAAAGAAATGGAGTTGAATTTGTAGAATTTTCTTTTCTTTTTTCTTTATTTAAGGAAGAAAGAGCCTATTGCCAAGGAATAACATAGCACCAAATGTTTGTTTGTTTTAAAAAAATAGTTTAGTTCGAAAACACATTTTGATTTTTCTCATATCATCTGTGATATCTTTTCTGTTGAGTAAAAATATTTGACATCTACAAAATGAAAAGAAGAAGCTATTTCACATATGTTCATTAAAAATCTTCTGACCTTTACAATAAAATATGAAAACATTATAAATGATGACAGTCGTATATATTTTATTTCAGCTTTCAGGACACTGTAATAAATCAATAACATACAATAAAGGCTGTATCTTCCCATGAGATCTAGTATGTGTTATATTGTATCTGCCTACTGAACACAATCAATATCCAGACAATATTAAAAATCCATTGCGTCAATGGTTCTTTATAGAAGACATCTGTTCCTGGGCAGCCTGCTCTCTCAATTTTGCCTTTCTTTCTATATTCCTTTGAAGTAGAGTGTTATCTTCTTTCAGAGCCTATAAAAATACGATTGGTATTAACAAAACAAATAAATAAAACTATTGGCTTTTTGGTTGTTTCTGGAGAAGTACATTACTTGTCTGGCAAGATCAAACGTTCTCTGGAGTGATAAACACTCATCATTGGTAGCTTTGTTTCATGAATTCTAAAAGTTCTAACAGAGAGCATAGAGGTATAAGTTCTAACAGAGTCCAAGGTGCAGTGCTAACCAAGGTGTCCCAGGTAATTTGAACTCAGTTTCCTACGTACAGAGCTGTTGTCAACCTCCTCACCCCTCCCCCCCCACCAGGTGTGGTGAGATGAGACCAGTTGCATTGATTTTGGCATTCCTCATCATTAAGTATGCTGTCAACAGGGTCTCAGTCTTATAGCACTAATAGTCATGTTGCATTAAGGACTTTCAGTCCTCCTTTTAACAATGATATCCTTATCACCAACCTCCACTACCTCAAATCTTAGAAGCATACTCACTCTATTTGGCATAAAGTACCCTTACGTAAGTAGTAAAATAGTTTTCTACATCTATGCCTCCCTTCCATATTCCAACATTTTAATGAATATTTGGGCTGTCTCAATAATTTATTAAAGACAAAATATAAGAGTTTGGCTACATAGTGGGAAAAGTAAGCAAGATTCAATGTGTTGGGATTAACCACAGTAGTTGCTCTATAAAACTGTACCTGTAGAACGAATGTGATGAACAAACAACTTGCTCTTTAGATCTGTGGAAGAGGTGGTTAATTTTATATTAGCTAAAAACTCATGAACAGGAATGTATGACTGGATCTGATCTCAGTGAGTGTTACTCATATATTCGGTATTCAGTAACTTGATTGAATTAATTTTACCAGCACTCAAATTTGTTTAGCATAATACTAAAGAAAAACTTGTGAAAAGGGAGACCCCTGCTGGTTACTGTTTAACACTTCATTTTTGACAGTGTATTTAGGATCCAACTGGGAAATAGTAAAGGCTGTAATAAGGTACACTGTAAACTTTTTGTAAATAAATAAAAAACAAAATAGGTCCAGGTACATCATTGCATACATCCAGAATTAGTTATTAAGCTTTAAAGCTGAAGAACAATGGGACTAACTGGGATGTTGCACACAATAAATTACTTAATGTATGTGTGATATCCCATTAAGTAAAGGACATTATATGGGTATCAGCTAAATATATGTGATTTAGAGAGTATTAAAAATATTTATTTTATAAAGAAAAAATAAGAACAGTAGCCCCCTGCCATGTAGTTTTAGGCATAACAGTGAGTGCCAAACTGTCACATCACATGATTTTTAATATCATATTTATTTATCCCTATAGTTAACAAATATGTATTTCTGGGGTGTGAAATTAAAGTTTAATATAAAAAATCCACAATGGAATACAAGAGTTTGTGTATTGAAAACCAATAAACATGCAGCATTCAACCCCCCCACCCCCCCCAAAAAAAGTTTACTTTGAAATGACAATATACAATAAAGTGCATGTCTCGTGAATATTTATTTTCTCTCTTAAAGTTTTAATTAACCTTTTAAGGACACATGACGGAAATATTCCGTCATGATTCCCTTTTATTCCAGAAGTTGTGTCCTTAAGGGGTTAATATATCTTAAAGGAGGTCCTGTGGTTCTCACCCCCATGGATGAAAGAGGTCACAGCTGGGGAAAGGATCTAAAGATCTATACAGTTTAATGTACTAATTCTGAGATGCTTCCAGATTGTTAACAAAATTATTAGGTGAAATTAGTATAAATAAAAAAAAATATATAAAAAAATAACTTACCTTTTTGCCAGATATCACCATGATGATGCAACCTATAATTGTTCCTAAAATCATCGCCATACAGGTCTTTATTCGGACATTATTCCTAGCTGCTGACAAGACCTCACACCTGAAATAAAACAAAAGAATGTGTCAACATCCCAAAGAAATGTTATTCCCAGAAAAAAACACTCTAGGTTAGAGTTAGATGTATAGTCACTGTGAATACAGAGGAGGTGGGTTATGGGTCACAAGGAGAGCACTGTAATTTTGACAAAGAGCTCCAAAATAGTTCGACCGAAAATTGTGGGATGCACCCATAGATTTAAAGCACCATTACATCTAAATTGATCTGAAGTGGTTATAGTGCCCCTTTAACTAAAAAGTCAGAGAATGGTAAATTGTAATTGAAACAATATATGACTAAAATGGCTTTTTACAACATGATAACAAACCCCAGAAGTTAAAGGCAGTTTAAAAAAATATTTTCATGATAGTGTTAATTTTAAAAGAATACGACTCATGTTTTCTCAAAGCTGCACCATTGCCCAAACTCATTAAACTGTTCCCCGGATCCTGGAACATATATAGTACATTTCATGTGGTTAAAATGATAGCGGAAATGTAATATATTCTCTGTAGTTATTAAAATAAAAGCAGTGTTGAAGTTTGGAGAAATGATGAGATTGCAACTTTTGATTCCCCTTTGGCAGTAGAGGTATTTCAAATAAGACAGAATGATGGTTCTTAAAATATAAATTATAGACCCATGGTGTCTCTTAAAACACAGATTACATGATTTGCTGCTAGCAGATTGCTTCCAGTTCGAGGTAAAAAAAAAATCTATATTTTATTTATATCTAAAAAAATATTTTAAAAAAAGAAAATTAAAATTACGGAGGGCATCCCATGATCACAAATCATATGGTACCTTTATGTGTAATAAAAATCCAACTGCTTTTTTAATTATATTTTTGTGTAGACTTTGCTGGTTATCCTTTTAAGGAAAACAGTAGTGCAATAGTTAAAAAAGATTAAAGATGTAACAACAGAGGAAGCAAATGTGTATGACGGTAAAGTACTAAAAGTGGAACAATGTATATGAATTACTGTATATTACTGGTTTCCGTAGCAACTGATCCTTTTAAAAAATGTTTACTCACAATAATACTTTAAAAAAACAGCTTAATAATTTCTGGAAAATATTAATCATGAAGTGCATTCCATTAAAGCAACTATTAAAACCACATAAACATGCAAATCTGAGATTATATGAAAATGAACTGCAATACTTAATCTCTCTTACAATTAAATTAATATTCAATAAATGTTGATGATTGCTTCCCATTGAAGAATATCCATTACTAAAATTAAATTAAGCCTGTTACATCCATGTTCAAAGCATTCAATATAGCCAACATTGCATGAAACTGGCTAACAAAGGCTTATCTAAACAAGAACATCATGAGCTCTGTCTAATTAGGAGAGAAATTGATAGAAACATCATTTAACATGTCAGAGACCAGTCCCAAAAAGTGTATACAGTTTATTCAATTAAATCTATCAAAGCATATTAGCATAGTACAATACTGACAAAAATAAAATCTGTTTAGAAACATAGTTTAACTATAACTAAATATATCAATACAAATATTATATTATAATTCGTAAAGGAGGAATGATCCCAGTCCACTTGCTTTTATTGTTTATTAAGCATTCAAACAGATCATGTTTTCCAACACAGAACTACACGGATAGTGACATAATTCGAGCAATTATTTCTCATAATGAATGGGTCCAATAATAACAGAACACCAAGTGCTATAGGGGCTTTAAGCTTAGGCAAAAGATCAGTGGGTGTTACAATTCCTAGAGGTTGCTGATGCAACTTTTATTGCAAAATTAAAATAGCTATCAGGTGGGACTGTAACTCCCATTATTCGTTAGCAGCACTAAAACATATAGGTGTCAATACTGTCCTTATCTCCTACACTACACCAAACTTTACCACCCATACTACAACTAAGCTTTAACATTAAATTATCACTTGCCACTAACCCTAACCAAAAATAGCATGTAATATCAAAAATGCATAACAGTAAGCCTGCATTGGGGAAATAATGTTATCTTGGGGTTCTGGAGACATTATAAACCACATGATAAAATGCTAGACATAAATATCTAAAGTAAGTTAACATCTGATTGAAATGAAAGCATTTTGTTTTCATGCAGGCTGTGTGAGTAACAGCCAGGAGGGTGTGGCCAGGGCTGCATAAACATAAACAAAAGTGATTAACTCCTAAATGGCAGAGAATTGAGCAGTGAGACTGCAGGGGCATGTCACCAAAACTGCTTAATTTGTTTTAAAGCCTATAGTGTCACATTAATGTAAGCTAGTCATATTGGGTACATTTTCTATATATATTGGGTTCTGGGACTATATTTTGGGATTGCATTCAGTTTCTATAGATCTATAGTAGTACTTTACTAGAACTTTCTTCCCCATGGTCATTACAAACACCTCAATCTTATAGAGTCTGCTTGTCGAACTCTTCCTCATGCTACAACAAATGACGCTGTGGCTTCCATTGGTACTGCAGCTCCTTCAAGCATTACCTATTTCAAGCATTATACCTCCTTGGAGCACCTAAGTGCCAGTTGTTGCAGTATAAAAAGGATTGGGGAAAACAATGGTCAGTTATCACATGACCTGTGAATAAAATCACAATTTAGCTGTCCCCAACCATTAATCTTCTTTGATTTCTCTTGTTTGTACAGGAGATACAGTCCACATGATTGAGCAGACTTCTTGTCGATCATGGCAAACCAACGTGCTTATCTGCTGTTCACCCCCCCCCCAAAACAAATCCTCTTCTTCATTCCACCCACCTTCTTTCCACATTGGGGCTTGCACACGTAAGTTCCCCAGAGATTTTGGCATGTGGCTAAAGCATGATTTAGGAAAAATAATGTGCAGGTCATGTACAGGGCCGCCATCAGAAATTTTGGTGCCCCTAACACAGCCCGGGGACTTGGCCCCCGGGGGCCCACCTCCAAGCACGCCTCCAAATCCCGTCCACAGGAATACACACACAGACACAACACACGCACTAATACAAAAGGATACACACACACATACTGAAACAGACATACACACATACTGAAACAGACAGACATACACACATACTGAAACAGACAGACAGATATACAGACATACATACACACATACACATACACACACACACACTGACATACATACAGACATTCATACAGACATACTGACATACATATATACTGACATACTGACATACCCCCAGGGCCACCTGGCCCGTGACATCCGTCATGATTGTCACCCCCTGGTGGTGGCACTGATCATGTAGCGTTATTATATATACTTTTTAAAAATACATAAGTTATGATATTTAGAGAGAACCCAAGGAAACCAGTGATAAACAGAAAACAGCTCAACGGTACAAATTATATGTTCTCACAATGCCAAAATCGGGTGAATCTGAAAAAAAAAAAATTATTTACTGTAAATATCTGTGACTGTTCTGCTTTCAATCAATCATCTTGAAATTTGAGGAAAATTTATAATTACGATTGCTGAATAACTGCTTATATTTTTTTTAGAACTTTGTTCCACAAACATTTATACAGGTCCTACATTAGTAAAGTTATTTTATAAATGGGTTGCTCAGATTATATACTTACGAAACATATGCAGGAATATCTTCAGCCTTTTTGTATCGTCCACCCCAAACAAGTACCTTTTTATCAAAGTTGGTTGGTTTTCTTTGGTTTCGAAATAAATGTTGACCTAAAATAACCAGAAACATATTACGCTTGCAAAGTGCCAAAACACAAAGTATCACAGATTCATTACTTTTGAAGCTAATCAAGCCTAATTTTTGAGCATCCAGAACATAATTGTGATTAAAATGTCTTTTTTGTTACGCATTCAAGGACAAAAAAACATTGCTATTTATATTTTCAGTTGAACAATATCCTGTAGGTCACATGAAGTTGCTACTAGAAACCTAATAAAAACATTTTCTAGTTATATATTATCGTTACCAGGCAATAGACATTTGTAAAGGAATTTGTGCAATAGTAGTAGCTGTCGAATCATCCTTTTATTTCACTGCACTCCATAGTTTTAACACAAACTAAAAGGGCAATCTAAGTGACATAACCACAACAGCACAATGTTTGGATACGTTATTAAATGTAGAATCAAATGCCCACATTTTTTTTTAAAAAAATCACTGGTTAGCAGCTATACCAAAAATGAAAACCAGTGTGCATTTTTTGCATTGGGGTAAATCTAAACACGGCTTGCAAAAGCTGCAGATTTCTTGTCTGCAGCATTTGCAAGTCCTCTCCTCCTAACCCCGCCCATACTTTGTGGCTGTCCAATCACAGACTTCTCAATACAGTTAATTGAGAAGTCTATCCAATGCAGATGCTCTGGACAATTGCAGCCTCTTGAGTTTAGCTCCACTGAGCTACCCAAACCAGGAAATAACAGGACCTATTGTCTGCTTGGCAGTCAGGGGGTGTGACAAGGTTAATTTATAAAAGTGCCAATTTCTGTTGAACTCTACACATTTTGTAAAATGAAAAGAGAGGAGACACTCTTCCACAAAAAGTATTTCAGCAAGTTAAAGTGCTTTAGGGGTCGCGAGTGTCCCTTTAACATTAACCAGGGTCACCCTCTCCCCAGCACTATCAGCCAAGCACTGCTATCCATGACACATACATAGGCGTGCGCACGGGGTGTGCCGGGTGTGCCTGGGCACACCCTAATCCCCGCGCACGCCTATGTATATTGAGACCGGCAGGGGAGATCTCAGGATCCCCTCTGTCGGCTAATGCAGAGCCGGCGCTATCCGAGCGCCGGCTCTGCTCTCAGCCTCCCTCCCTACCGACCCTCATGCAGGGAGGGAGGCAGGAGAGGACCGGCGGAGCTATTGCCGGCAGCTCCGCCGGGTTCCTCTCGCGAGATATGAGCATTGCCACGGCAACGCTCAAATCTCGCGAGAGTGAACTCTAGCCCCACAGGGGGCTAGAGTTCACTCTCCACTGGACCACCAGGGAAAGCAGCAGCACTATCCCCCCTCCCTACATAAGGTAAGAAGGGAGGGGGGATAGCAAGTAATCCACCTCCAACCCCACAATCACCCACCCACACATACAGCACACATACAGCACCCACAGACATACACTGCACCCACACACATACAGCACCCACACACATACAGCACCCACAGACATACAGCACACACACAGCACCCACACACATATCACAGACATACACAGCACCCACCGACATACACAGCACCCACAGACATACAGCACCCACACACATACAGCACCCACAGACATAAACAGCACCCACAGACATACACAGCACCCACACACTTTCAGCACCCACAGACATACACAGCACCAACACACATACAGCACCCACACACACATACAGCACCCTCACAAACACACAGCACCCTCACACACAGCATACAAACAGCACCCTCACAAACACAAACAGGACATTAACAAACACACACACAGCACACTACCAGTACCCTCACACACAAACAGCACCCTCACAAGCGCACACACACACACACAAACAGCACCCTCACACACAGTACATTAACAGCATCCTCACAAGCACGCACACACAAACACCCTCACCCACATAGCACACTACCAGCACCGTCACACACATATCACACTAACAGCACCCTCACACAGCACACACACACACACACAGCAGTGTGTGTATGTGTGTATATATGTGTATGTATATATATATATATATATATATATGTATATATATATATACACACATACATATATATATGCGGCGTGTGCTTGTGCTTTAGGGTGCACACCCTAATGCAATAGGCTGCGCACGCCTATGGACACATATGACACATACAATTGTCAATGATAACAAAGAAGGGTAAATTCTGCATTATCAATGCAATTGTAGAGGGTTGTCTCTGGGTGATGATAGAGAGAGATCAATTTTAGGTCAAGCCAGTGCTATATTGTTTAAATGAAATCTGAGGGCAATGGTACCGACAGACTATTAGTAATATAACTATGCCAACATGAACTTAGCTGTGTCCAGACAATCAAGGCAGACTTGACATCTCTACTGGCAACATAGAAATTCTAATACTGATGAAAAGCCCTATTCATGAGTGAGATGGAAACTCTGCAAATGTATATGTGCAAGTAAACAAAAAGTCAGTTCAGCAATCCAAACTTCAAGGCTGTGTAAAATCAGCACAGATCACATTATGTTTTACAAATAAATCTAACTTAAAAGGGAAATTCTAAATATGGAGCAGAATATGGTATGATTAGCTGCAGAGAATAAAGAGACACTCCTCTTACTGTGGTTATGGTGTTATCCGGGCAGTCCCTGGTGTTTTTGGTTTTTCAAGCTGTTTGTGAAAACAACAGTGGATTACCAGTGCATATAGGTCACTCTTTCTGCGTGGGACTCCGTTATAAATCAGTTGCACTTCCTCATTATTTGTCAAAAATATTTGTACATTTAAACAGGTTTCGGCTGTGCTATCTTGTTGACTGTGTCAGTTTCATGCATAACATTATAACCATTATGACAAGTAGCAGTGGTTATGGTGTTTTGAGTGTCCCTTTAAAGGGTTACTCAAATCACCATGACCATTTCTGTGATTGGTACAGCATGGAAACAGTGCACTGTGTTCTTACTTTACCTCTGGAAGCTTCATCAGCCAGCCCAGAACAATGCTGGTTAGTGACAATTCTGTGCATATTCCTAGCACAGAGCATCATTCGTTAGCTGAGTACACTTAATTGAACCTCTCAGCCAATAAATAACTGGCATTAACAGCATCCGGCTTCTGCAGAAGCTGAATGTGCAACACCTGACATGTTAGGACTCTTGGCACCTGGTAGGACCCAAGAAGAAGCTTGCCCCATTGCCAGGGAATGGGGCAAGCTTCTTCTTGGTCCTTATTCAACCTTCTACTGCAGAGAACCACAGTGGATAGATTTTACTTGCAGTTGGTTAAATCTATAAGATTAGTCATTAGATTAGGACAGCATAGGACCTGCCAAAAATGAGCTACATTGGCAAAGTAGCTTATGCAATGCATGATCGTATTATATAACTAAACCCATTTTTTTACTCAAGCAGTTTGGAATGGAGTGCAGGGCCAGATTAACAGAAGCTATTGGAGCTCTGAGCCTATGCATTTTAATAGTTCCCATTTCAATCCTTGTTCTTCATAATCAATAGGACAGGCTGTGTCCCTTGTACTCCTTGCTTTCGTGGGAAATGTTTCTGTGGCTCAGCTTGTTCGTAGAGATCTTACATTTTATTTTGATATGGTTGTAAAGCCTAGTTGTAAACTGAGGTTAGGTACATAAGACCAGAACCACAGATTTCAATAGAACACATGAATCCCCTATTGAACATGTAGCCCCAGAAATGACAGAGTACACTGTTGTTATATTAACCCCTTTTAAAGGACCACTCTAGGCACCCAGACCACTTCAGCTTAATGAAGTGGTCTGGGTGCCTGGTCCAGCTAGGGTTAACCCATTTTTTCAGAGAAACTGCTATGTTTATGAATGGGTTAAGACTTCCCCTATTTCCTCTAGTGGCTGTCTCATTGACAGCCACTAGAGGCGCTTGCGTGCTTCTCACTGTGATTTTCACAGTGAGAGCACGCCAGTGTCTATAGGAAAGCATTATGAATGCTTTCCTATGTGACCGGCTGAATGCGCGCGCAGCTTTTGCCGCGCGTGCGCATTCAGCCGTAGGGGAGGAACGGAGGAGGATCGGAGGAGGAGAGCTCCCCGCCCAGCGCTGGAAAAAGGTAAGTTTTTACCCCTTTCCTCTCCCCAGACCCGGGCGGGTGGGGGCACCCTCAGGGCACTATAGTGCCAGGAAAACGAGTATGTTTTCCTGGCACTATAGTGGTCCTTTAACTAGAGTGGTACAGAATTCTGCCAAATTGTTTGGCAGCAAGTGACTTGTAATCACAGATATTTGCTAAGAGCAATAGATACTAATGTAATCAGAGAGGTTACTTTCTATGCTATAAACACGGCACAGTAAGACACATTGTGTTGGTCGGCAGCAGGTACTGAACTGTGAGCATCGGACAGCACTTTTCAGCATTACCAGAGGACCAGCGAAGTGAATTATATCTTGCTAATGGAAGTGTGAGATTGTGTTTGTTGCAGCTGTTATTAATAACGTTGTCTGTAATTACAGCATAGGGAGATGGTGGCTTGCAAAGTAGGTTTCCAAGATTGTGCAAGAAATGTTTAATGAAGCTAAAATTACAGTCTTCGAAAGTAGAAGTAGATGTTTGCCAAGTGCTTAAAGCGATACTGTAAGCACAATAACCACTACAGCATGTTGTAGTGGTTATGGTCCAAAATATTCCCTGGCACCATCACACTAAGTTTTAATGCAAACCCAGCTCTGCCATGTGCGCACAGACAAAGTTGCAAAAAATGTATTTTGTTAATTGCTTTTTTTTTTGAGATCTCTGTATTCATATAAAAGATTTACAGTTGTTTAAGTAAAGTGTCCTTTTTAAGTATACAATTGTATGTGTCAATTAAAATGTGATTTGCTATATAAAGGGAAGTTGTAGAAAACTATATTGCCAGCCAAGTAGAGAGTAAATTGGTTAGCCGATAGACAGCCCAGGGAGGCAGACTTTCATGCAAAAAAAAAAGATTTTAATCTCAGAATTAAACATTTTAACCTCTTCCCATCGGAATCTGTATGTGGTATGGAGAACTAATTATAGTACTTAGTGATGGTCTCAGTTTAAATGTGCCCAATATTACGGTTGTTGCAAAAGTGAGACATTACAGAAGTAGGTTTATGAAGGTCCCGGAAGGAAGGTAATTATGAGGACTGCATGCCTATTAACCCCAGTCAGTTGCAGGACCTCCATTACAAGCTGTAGATGCTGCAATCTCAGTAATCGCAGCATATACATGCACAGGGCTGGTGCGAGAATAATTTGCACCCTAGGCAAGACCAGCTACTTCCACCGTTTCCCCAAACAAAAATTGCCAACTTTTTGTGTGTCTCTTTCATCCCCCAGTCCCTCTTTGCATCTCATAGCTTCCCCCAGCCCCTCTGTGTGTCTCTTTGATTTCTGCAGTCACACTGTGCCTCCTTCTCCCCCTCACAACCCTGGTGTGCCTCTTTCTCCCACCCCCAGCCACTTTGTGCCTCTTTCTCCCATCCCCAGACCCTTTGTGCCTCTTTCTCTTCCTACAAGCCCCTGTGTGCCTCTCTCCTGAGACTAGCCTATGTGATTATTTCTGCCCCCCACCAGCCTTTGCATGCCTCTTTCTACCCCCATCAGCCCCTCTGTGCATCTTTTTCCCCTCACCAGTCCCCATGTGCCTTTTTCTCGCCCCACAAGCCTTTGTTTGCATTTTTCTCCCCCACAGCCCTAATCCTTGTGGCAGTAGTGTATTTTGGATTTGTGCTGCCCTAGGCACGACTAAATTCGGGCACCCTCAAAATCTAAATCCCCCCCACCCTCCAATTTATGTCAAGGCCACTTTTGTGACTGACAGACACATGCCTTCATTGATACATGCACTGATATACACTCACTGACAGATACACAGTCATTGGCTTACACATACAGTCATTGGCACACACTGTTTACCCAACACACACTTTATCTGACAGACACACACTCTCAGATACACATAAAATGACATACACATACTGACACACATAGAGGTACACCCATTCTCACTGAAAGACACACACTTTCACTCACACTCACTCACTCACTCACAGTAAGGTGGACAGCCCCAGAACATGAGGCAAACAAGGCATTTGTCTAGGAGCTTGGGGTGGCGTTTTTGGTGCCCCCCCTGAAAGTGCCCTAGGCAAATGCCTTGTTTGCCTTGTGGTAAATACATCCCTGCCTTGTGGCGTGGCTAAGCCTCTACCTGGTCTGACAGGTAGCAGTGCTGTGCTCTCAGTGAGCTCTTCCTGTCCAACATTGTAGAGGTTACAGAAGCTTCTCTACTGTGATCCAGCCACGCTACATACAGAGTCCAACAGGAGGGGAGCACTGTGCGCTCGCCTCCTGCCAGTCACATGGAAAGTGCACCCCCAGGCCAGTGTGCCCTAGGCAGCTGCCTAATCTGCCTAACAGTCGCGTCGGCCCTGTACATGCTGTTACTGTAAGCCTCACTCCTGCAATAGTCTCAAGAAGTTTCAATAAAAACAGAGAATATGAGAACAGACAAAAGCTTAGAGAAACTCAATAGCTTGCCCTTCGGTAAATCCCAGTTTAGGTCTCACAAAATAGTTTTTGCTGATATGTGCCATTACAGAGAGAACCTATTCTAAGACATATCAGATCCCACCCATAAGACCAGTCCAGGATTGAAATGCTGGCAAGTTCTCTCTGCACAAGAAATACAGCAACAACGGACGAATGTTTAGACTTTCTTTGGGCCTCGCCAGCGAGGTGTAGCTGATACCCCTCTAGGTACAGTGTGCATGGGGTGCTTGCCTGAATTACACTTTTATCTTGGGGAAAGCCAAGTTAATGCATTGCAATAAAAACAGAGAATATGAGAACTCTAAGAACGGACAAAAGCTTAGAAAAACCGCTTAAGATCTGAGCGGGCACCCACCGAAAGGCAGGCTACTTAAACTGTTGTCAGTACTCAGTACTCTCTTGAACCTTGCTTTTTTTTTTACTCTCTCAAAGTTTAAAGGGTAATCCAGATGTGGACCCCTGGCCCATGGTGCCTAGAGGTGTATCAGCTATACCTCACTGACAATGTTTATATGAACATTGTCTGGGGATGCTATATTTCTCGGGCAGAGAGAGCCGGCCTGCATTTTGGATCTGGAATGCCCTTTTTTGGTGGGGTCAGTCTGATATGCAAATTGCCCTGGTTCTCTTTGTAATGGCACAAGCTGAACTAAAACCAGCTTGAGATTTGAGCAGGAACCCACCGAAGGGCAGGTTACTTAAGCTGTTGTCCTTTCTCAGTACTATCTTGCACCTTGGGTTTTGTAGTCTCAAGATGTTACAGCCACAAAACAGCTATAACAACCTTTTCAGAGCAATAGTATGGCATTATTGACAGCTGATGCCCTGTTGTTGCAGTGCATGCCAGGATCAGCTGTCAGTTGGCTACTCACAATGAGTCAGGCCAACAATAGTCCCTGACTGATGGCTGATCACCCTGGGATCCAATCACAGGAATGACCTGCCTAAACTATCAACCTGACAGCCAATTTACTAAATTGTGCATTGTTAGGGTGTTAGCATTTATGGAATAGGCACGAGCATTAGAAATAGTGTCAAAGTTTGATGCTGGTCAGTATGGTGACACTGTGTCATCACCAAATAGCATATCTGGGAATAATTTAAAGAAGCAAGTCAAAATGTGGGCATTTCTAAAATGTGATGTATTGTTGCTATTTAGTGGTTACTTTTAAAAAGTGATACTACATCCAGGTTGACCAGCTTTATATTGCTATTGCTAGATAATTATATATTTATGTGGTGCATATGAGAATTGCCCTAATTATGTGAGTTTTTGTTTTTTTGTCAAAAACAAGTTCCCATTAAAGTTTATTGTTTTTACTTTTTTATGGGTATATAAGATTTCTTTGTAGTGTACCCGTACTCTATTTTTATATTTTTTTTTACTAGTCACTGTTTGAGCTGCTGCCTTTTCTTTATACATTTCATTATTATTCTTTGTTGCCCACAATTTTATTTTAATGTCCATAATGTGATCCAATAAAAAGCCCCAAAACCTGGTAAATATATATACCTGGGGTATTGCTGTACTTGTGCAGCAAAAGCAGAATACAAATCATGATCTGTGAAATTAATCCATGGAGAAAAAAAAATAAAATAGATAACATATACCCAGCAGTTTGGCTCAGAATACTGATGATGGTTAAATACCCTGATAGGTCTACTTTCTACAAATATATTTTTTTGTGTACTGAGAATGTTATTAGATTTAAAATATCATGATGTCTAATTTTGCTTTAAAAATGTAACTGAAAATCCTAGTTATAAGATGCATTTAGGACTAATAAGTGAATGTATTTAGAGGTTTTCTTTAGTTGTACTAGTTGTGAAGAAATTTTATAAAAATAAATAAAAAGGGCATTAAGTAAAGATATAATCATTTTCCCTCAACGGATAGTTGCAATTACATATTAATAATTTATCTCATCCACAAAGTATCAGAAGATTACATACATATTAGTCACATAAAGAAGAACAAAAAAAAAAAATATATATATATATTATGTAACACAATTAAAAACATAAAAGATGCGCTAACGGACGAGTTTAAACTTGCAAATTAAAATTGTGCTTAAAAGAAACAAAGCACAAAATTCATAATTTTGTCAATTAGTATCTACCACTGTGGGGACAACACGAATAGCACATTATACCACAATAAGTAGCAGCTGTCATTTTAAGGCAGTGCCAGTGAGCTCTGGCAAAGTGAAAGAGGACTTTCAGACCACAATCTCACCAACCAGTTTCATCTAAGGGACTTTCCCAAGCTGCAGAGTGCTTTGATATTAAGTCCCAGTTTGATCTCAATTTAAATAGCCCTATTAATAAAGGCCCCCTCCCTAACTGCAATATACATGGGGCAACATAAAACAAATTTTAATGATATAATGATAAGTACTAAAATTAATTAAACACACGATTTCACCAGCATCGTATAATATTCTATAAATTCACAAAAGTAAAACCGTGGTCATACATTGCACTTATAGAATATATAAATAATAATAAAAATTATGCTCCAAAAAGTTAGGCTGCAAAAAAAATGATGGCTGCCATGTCCAGCATTATTATAAAACTAATTTTCCATTCTATTTAGTACAATTTCACATAGCTTAAATATTTACTCACCAGACAATGTTTCAGTCACCTGGGCTTTTGGAACGTTAACATTTTGACAATATTGCCTTGTCTGTATTGTCTTTGGCGTGCTGCACCTAGCAGGGTACACGCCTCTGATAAGAGTCTTGAAGCTGATTGATCCTAACTTAGACATTGTGTGCATAGTACAGCAGAGACCAGAAGTTGTTCAATAAGCGTGCAATCAGTTGCTAGAGAGCTGTGCGCCTTCCTGAGTTCATACACCTACTGCACAGACACTGGATATACAAGCTTCCTTGTTAAGTTGGTCACATTAGAGCAGTGTTTCTGAATGTAGTAACAAATGTCATATAGATTTACCTTAGTCATGATGAGTAGAACAAGTAAAGATGTCATTTGAAAGGAGTGTCTGTAAAACCTGGCAGCTGTAAATTTACAGCAGGACAGACCGCACGTAGACAACTTGTTTGCTTGCACAGAAACACTGTGCATCTGTCTGCAGTGCCGTTACACAAAATGTTTTGCATTTATAATGGGAAATAATTAAAAACATATATGGGTAAATATATGTGTAATATATATATTGAATTCATTTTAAATGTGAATAAATGTAAAAAAAATTACAAAGAAAAAAATAGAATTACAGTGCTAGATAAAGAGTTTTGGAAGGAGAGGAGTTATGAATTCAGTTCTCTGCTTGGCAGGTCTGTTAGGAATAAATGCATAATTAACTTTTAAGACCTATTCCCAGAAATGTCTACAATAAGTGCCATAAAGGAATCACTAGTTCTTTTTTTTTTTTTATAGTAGTTTTACAAATTTACATTTTTCAATTTATGCGTCTTGGTTTTTTGTGTTATTCTTTGATGATTTTTGTTTTTTTTTGCAGTTTTTCAGTTTTGCTGTAAACCACCACTTTTCTTACAATTTTTCCTTAGTATGGTTAAATAAACACTTCTTAATCTGATCCTGGCTAAAGACTGTGCTCCTTGTCACGTCCACCATGGCAATGTAGGGGAAAGTCTTGAACCACTGCTAGAGAGAGAGGTTTTAGTTTAAATTGATGTGTCAACTTACAATATTGGTAAAGTTGATTTCTAGAACAACTAAACACAGAAAATAATACATACATGGTTTTACATAACAACACTCTAAATAAAAGTCTATAGGGACATAAAATATATATAGCAATATACATTGATTTAAAAAAAAATGAAAAATCTGGGGTCTGCAAGATTTCCAGAATATATTCTGAAAGAGCTAGGTGAATAGCGTAATCCCACCTCTACCTCGGGTGGTAAAATGGATGGTAATACCTTTATGGATTTGGAGGATACTCAAGCTATTTAGCTGAATAATACCAGGGCAGAAAATGCCCAGTTTGCCTATAGATAAATATTAGCTCTGGATCTAATGCAATCATTTTTTATCCCATCTACTCAGTCCAGAAAAAGAACCATCGAATGACCAGGCCTCTGGTCCTAAAGACCTAATTTTAAATGCCTCCTATATGACTAAGCATACCCTATCCAGCAATCCCATACACTCACCACTAATGGAAAGACCCTGCATACAACTCTAATATGCATAGTGAGTTGTTTACACCATTAATGAAAATAAAAGAATATTCATTCCTACTAATAAAAATAATAAAGCCAGTAAATCATGTATCATGTTAGTTCCACTTAAAAATAATAGACACATACAAAATATGTATAAGTCACTGGCATGCTATCGAAGAAAGGATAGGGAGAATGGGAACTCAAGGTGAATGCTACAATAGAGTAATTCTTCACACCAAGCTGCAGTAATGACCATAAGGTCACTGCCGTATAGGAGATTAATTTATTGAAGGACCTACAGCAAATACGTATTTAATTTGCCACCATGATTAATAATATAGTTATTGGTACCTGGAATTCTAACTATGTAAGCCCTATACACCAGCGATGGAACTAATATAGAGAGCGGATTGGTGCAAAGATTTTTATTGCCCTTTCTCTAGCGCAATGGTGATCAGAGATATAACAGCTGGTTGAGGCTGATGGGAGTCTGGGGCCTGGAGTAGGCTTTCTAATTTCTCCCTTTGCTAGGCCATTGTGCAATTTCCCACCCCTCCTGTCTGCATCTTCTCTCCCTTTCTATGCAGCTATCGCAGTAAGCTTGCAGGAAGTTATCTAAACTCACTTCCTCCCTGCACTTCCAATCTGACAGGGACCAGTCATGCAGTTAAAAGGTCACGGCGCTCAACTGGGCCCCTGAATAGACATGCTCATATGGGGACCAAAGTGCGTGGGCCACTCGATGGGCCCCCTGCAGCTATGCTGCACGGGCAGGGGTTCTGCTGCTGCTCTACACCCACCAAAGACCAAACACATTTCACTGCTGGGAATCCAGTCTATCTTACTGTATAGGACTGATTGTTATATTGTCCTCATTCTCCCTTTTTAGAGCGGGGCTTCATTCTCACAGCTAGGAAGGGAGAATACTTAACAGCCCCCTCAAACACTTAACAGCAACTTCATGACTGCATTACAACAGCAAGATTGCATTCCCGCACCCTGAAATTATTTGTAGGCTGCAATAACACTCTGTAAGATTTAGTGCAATAATACTTACTTATGTTGGCATTACAACTACTTACATCCATCGTTTTTACATTCTGTGATGAACTCTAAATTCGAAAGATGTCACCAGGATCATCTCAAATATCAATAAGAAGGAATTTGGGTATTTGTATTTATTTATTTTTGACTCACACACAAGGACAAAAAACTAATATTACAGATCCTTTCTGTAATATTTCAAGTTAAAATATCCCTTGTAGTGTGAGATTTATCAAGTAGAAATAAACACATGCTATTCTGGAGCACAGTGTTAAATGAATAGTAATAACCTTAGAAACCTTAGAAACACAGGCACTTGTTTTGCCTTGACAAATCTCTCTCCTGCAGGGCTACTTGCTAAAGTGAACAAAGTGCTTGTAGCGGAGGCCTGATATTTCACAGGTTAACTCCACTAAGATCCCAGTGAGGTTCAGGAACAAGTGATGAAAAATCCCATAAAGTAATAATTCCAGCCAGCAAGGTAATCCAAGAATATCCCCATACAGATCGGGATGACTGGATGACACACAGCATCAGGAGCAGAACTAACTTTTATTCCACACAACCTCCTTTTAAGCATTCTCCCATGCAAGGGAGGGATTCACATTCATTAGTACAGTATCCAATGGAATAGCAGTTACCTCCCACACATCTCCTCCCCTTAGTATGACACTTAATCCCATTACACAGGTTATAGTTTTCCCCATGTTCTGGATGTACCCTAAGATTAGCAGATACACCAATACTTTGATCTGGGTGACTAACATATCCAAAATTCACCCAGATCAGACCAGGGGTTCGGGAGTTAGGTGGAGGGTATAAGTTGACCGACCGCACACGAGGTGGTATCCGAAAAGGGTTCCATGTGTTTTGGCCCTGCGGTCGTCTCCGTTCGGGAGTTGAAAGACGTATAAAAAACTGCCATCCACTAATACATTTACGTTCGTATGACTCCCCTCATTCTGTACTTTAAACTTACCGAACGGGGGGCTGATACGCCTTCCCGTTCGGGAGTTACGGAGCTCTTGAGTTGTCAGCGGTGTTCGGGTAATTGAGTGTCCGATTTGAGTTCCAGACACTCGACGACCAAACACCGCTGAGCCTTTCGTGCGTAAGATGGCCGCCGCCACGTGTTCGCATGCCGAATGGTGACCACCCAGATACATACATAAAACACCTATTAGTCCGCAGTTAGCGAGCAATGTGCAGCTTAACGAGGGACACATTTCACTCTGGGGTGGTCTATTGGTTCGGTAGTTTCCATTCGTATGAAATACGGATGAAAACTACCGAACAATCACACAAATTCTACTTACAATTAACTATACAGCAGAAATAACACACGGATTGCAGGATTCTCATAGTCTTTAAGGACAGCCATAGTACCATCCGCTACAGTGCTTTTTATATTTAAGGCAAAAATAGCCAAACTGGAGATTTTCTCCAAGTTAGCTATGCTTCCAGTTCAGGTATTTTGGCCTTAAACAGATACTATAGGCGTCAAAACATCTGAAGTTTAATTAAACCGTTTTAGTGTATATACCATGCCCCTGCAATCTCACTGCCCAATTCTCTGCCATTTAGGAGTTAAATCACGTTTGCTTCTGTTCATGCAAACCTAGACACACCTCTCCTGACTGTGTCTCACACAACCTGCATTAAAAAAAAATGGTTTTACTATCAATCAAATCGACCCACAAAGTTAGCGCGCAAAATAAACATATACAAACTTGATACTTAACCCCTTTAGACCGGAGGGCGTACTATTACACCCTCTAATAGGCGGCTCTAAACGCCGCCGGGCGTAATAGTACGCCCTCCGGTCTTTCGGTACTTACCCGGTCGCCGGCGGTCCCACGCCGGCGATCGCGGTGGGGGGGGACTCCCAGGGAGCCCCCCGCGGCACGACCGTCCTCCAGGAAGGACCTCACGATCACATGGCCAGGGATAGCTGGCTTCTGCATTGCCAGCAGGGGGGCTGCCTGTAATTACAGGTGGTCCCCCTGCTGGCTGAAAATAAAATTAAAATAAGTTAATCAGTGTAAAAAAAAAAAATTATATATATATATATATATATATGATCTAAGTATATATATATATACACATATACATACACACATTTACACCATCTAGGTGTATTTTACTATTAATATATATATAATTATATATATATATATTAATATCAAATTACACGTGGACTGATACTGATTAAATATATATATAATTATTGTTATATATATATTTATATATATCATAAAAAAAATTAAAATGTAAATACGTTAAAAAATAAAATTAAAAAAATAATTAAAAATAAATAATTAAAAAATATATAGATGTTTGTTATTTCGTTCTAACTGTATTGTGAAATTAATATATATATATATATATATCAAAATACACATAGATCGAAATAATATATATATCTATATACATAAATATATACGTATATATCACTATATATATATACCTATATATAAATAAAAATATTTTTTTAAAATTATATAGATATATATACACATACGTATATATATACATATATTAATTCTACATATATATTTATGTATTATTTTTACATAATTAGGTATCTTAATTAATTACAATTAGCAGGACCTGCCTGACAACCCATGCCGAAAGTAAAGGGAATTTAATTTGCTAGCACTATATTTAACCCTATAACTTTCCAAGACACCATAAAACCTGTACATGGGGGGTACTGTTCTACTC